AATATAAAAACCCAAAAAAAAAAAAAACACAAAAGCATAATCTTTCTTTTTCAACATCAGTAATTTATTTAGGGCAGAGATTTTCATTAATCTTGGCAAAAAAAATAACAATACAATCTGTTTTTAGAGAGCCGAGCTGGAATTCTAATCACTGTTCTTAAGGATCTGAGAGACCTGCCATAAACAATGACACCATGAATATCTGCTTTCTACTAGAAAAAAAACAGTGGCGAAACTATAATATTTACATTTCTATTTATAAAACCCCCTTTATTTTCCCCAATAGGCCTAAATAATTAATACCAAATGATTTATTTTCCATAATAAATCATTAATAAACATCCTTTGAATATTTTAAAACTCAGTTTTTAATTTTATAATGCTTTTGGTTGTTTGATATTTACAAACATATTATAAACAGGGTAAAAAGAAAAGCATTGGGGGAAAAAATGTGTAAATACTTGATTATTACTGTTTGTTGAAGTGTGAGGAGAAATCTTAAAGCGCTGAGTCACTGAATGGGAGCAGTAACATGCTGCAGTTCTACTGCGCTCCACTGATCTGCTGGAGCTTCGTTCCCCCCTGGTAAAAACGAACAAAAGCTGAAATTTGATATACAGTGGAAAACAAAATAAACAAACTCCTATCAGCACTGCCCTCCTGTGGTCTAAGACGAGTGAAACACTGCAGCACCCTCCCCAGCTCTGCAAACACAGGCATGCCGCAGGCAAGCGAGGGCATCTAATTTCCCAACTGCTGCTGACTTTGTTTGATTCGCTTCATTCCTGATGTCAGATGGCATTCCTCAACTATATTGCTGAGACACTGTAATGCGTGTGTCAGAGACGGGGAGACAGAAGAGGTTTGACCGGCTAATCAACCTAAATCCCTCATTCTATACTTGGCAAGGCATCAACTTTTTGGGCTTTTTTCCCCCAATTGGTTCTGCAGCTCACACTAGCACATTCACACAAACCACAGACACACGCTATGGCATACCACTAAAAGGGTAATACTCTGTAAAGGAAGGGCCTGACCCTGCATCCTGTACTGCAAGCTGTTACCTTCCAGTCATGCGGATACTAGATAGATAGATAGATAGATAGATAGATAGATAGATAGATAGATAGATAGATAGATAGATAGATAGATAGATAGATAGATAGATAGATAGATGATAGATAGATAGAACAGGATGTACCGTTGTCTCTTTTTCTCCTCCCTCCTACTGCACCTTTGTGGGTGTGTTTCAGTAGTTTGTCTCCAATGCCTGCAGGGAATACTTTTCATTGCAAAATTTCTGATTTCCTGAATGCACCTCACAGACAAACACAGCTGCCCACTGTACCATTAGTAGAAATCCTTGTAGACACAGGTGGATGCTGCTTGACGAAAAGTGAGGAAGAATTCAGGAGTGGAGCAAAGCAGAACTGTGGCAGGTTGCGAAACTCGGACTTAGACAGACGGATGAAAGGGATGATGGAGACACACGTGCGGATCGGAGAGAAGAGAGAAGTCCTCCTCTGTAGAGTTTCCTGGTATTCATAGACAGCTGTAGAGAGGTGAGTTAAAGTTTTCCTTGAACTCTATATATTTGTTTCAAAAGAATAAACTGTAACATAAACTGGAAATTTCCTTGTTTGAAAGTCAAAATTAAATGGGATATTCAGGGAAAAATACAGAAGTTCAGCAATCAATGGAAAAGATTAGGTTTTGTCTTAACAAAACGTTTTCTATCTGTTTTGTTTTCACACTAATACATTTTTAGATAATCAACTAACGTTCAGAGATAACCTGAAGAATATTTTTAGACAAAATAGTTATTAAAACTAAGCTTGTCCTTTAAATGAGCATTTGCCTCTTGAAGCTTTAGGCTTCTACATCACTGAGGACGAAATTTGGTCCACTTTTCTTGTCAGAGTTTTTTAAGCCACAGTTTAATCTTTTATCACCCATGTTTTAACATTTGTTCATTAATACGGTAATTTGTTGGTTTGCTTTGGATTGTTCTTGTGAATATGCCAATAGTTGGGCCAAGTCATTTCTTTCCAAGTAAGTAGAGTAGGTCTGTCTGCAGCTATTAACTCATACAACTTACTAAAAGAACCCCATTGAGATACAATGTTTAATGTCCCTTTGACATTAATAAAGTATTCCTGATAAAACTAAGATAAATTGAAATTAAATTGTATATCCCAAGCCTTAATATTCAAGTCTCCATTGGAGTCAAAAGTCATGACACTAACAAGTTCCAAGGAAAGTCAAAGTCCTCCATGTTAAATTTAAAGTCAATATAAAGAGCTGTCCATTAAACATTAATGACATGAGGAAACAAATGATACAGATCAATATTTTTTTTTACTTTAATTTTAAATCTGATTTAGAACCACCCTCCAAACTCAGAATCAGGTTTACTGGTCTGGATTTGTGTTTACATATGAAAATATAAACTATAGAGATCAGAGATAAAGATATGGTAGTAAACCATATCTTTATCTCTGGTAGCCAACTTATTTTATATTGAAATATGATGAGCTGATACATTCTGACATAACATAAATATAGGAGCCATTTTTTGGATGGGGGACTGGTGTATAATGTCAGTGTTACCAAACTTTAGCAAAACTTACAGCAAAATATGAGAAATAAATAGCAAAGATTACGGATTTATCCAACTGCCCTCAAGCAGCCAACACAAGATGGAATGCAAATCGCAAATTATCTTGTTAATGATGTTAGGGAACTGTAATTAAGGCTTGTTATACTCAGTATCCTGGAGAAATGCCTTGGGTAGCAGTTTGGATAGCCACATTATATTCTACCCTGGTTGACCATTCCCTTAGAAGTAAAGAGAGATGTGCCCGCCACACCATGACACTGGCCGGGCGCCAATACAATATTTCGCCAATAGCTGGTATCCGTTATCAGTAAAGATGTGTTTGCCTAAATTGCATTAAGATTGTGGTAATCTTACTAAACAACGACAAAGGCCAGTGCTCACCAAAGACCCCCAAAGGGAGACTATACAGAGCAGCTACCTCTTCCAGGGTGGGATCAGTTCAGGAAAACTGGGATAACTGAGCGAATTGAACCCAAAACTAGCCGTGTAAGACTGAAGATTTAGCTTTAGCTGAACTAGACAGATTTTCCAGACCAGCTAAATCTGCAGACAAATGCAAACCCAGTAAAAGGAAACCAGCCTCTAGACCCCTACTATCTACCTGGACATATCTCAGACCTTGCACTTGCCCATCCATTGGCCCACAATCCAAGTCCACTACAACCTATTTTCTGATTGTTAAAGTGTATTAAAGTGGTTAAGTGTATTAAAGCCCCCAGGGGCACTTTTATATTGTCAAGGTTCAATTTCCAGATGCTAATCTATAGAGAAAATATCTTCTGTTGAGCGGGCACTTAATACATCCATATTCTATGAAAACCATGAGTTGATCTAAGAGAAGAACTGTCTGAAAGGATGTTTTGTTCCCCAATATACCTTCATTTCCGCAAATGAGGTTAACAACTTCCCAGTAAGCTGTAAAAATCATCATATGATGAAGAGAAGTTGACAGTCTGCTTGTTTAAACATCTCTCCGAGGTTACCTTGTCTGGTAACAAATATCAATTTCAGACAAATTTGCACAAATCTGTGGCAATAACAAATGTGGCATCTATTTGTATTCAGTACCCCTTCATGCTAATGCGTCTAAAATAATTTATTACAACTGTCTACAGAGGTGGGCTAATTAATAAAAGGAAACATGTTTCTGGTGTTTAATCTCAGTATAAATCTACAGTAGCTGTATATTTATTTATTTAGAAAATAACCCAAAGAGGAAAACAGCTAAGTCTTTCATTTCAAAATAGAAAGAGTAAAACACAATTGCAGACCTACCCTGACAGGGCAGTGCCTTGCATGGTACGCATTACTCTGGAGGAGCAGCATAGATTCACAAAAAACATTAGTCATGCTCTACAGAGTTCTGGCCTTAATTCAAACTGGCAACAGAAAAACTCATAGATGACAAATGTCACAAGAAGCCTGCTTTGCTTTTACCACCTACAAGGTAAAGAAAATTGCATAGCCACATGAGGAAGCAGGCGCTCTTGTCAGATGAGACCAAGCTTGAGTATTTTGGCTTGTATGCAAACTGCAGTTTGGCAAAACACTTTACCCTGAGCCACCATTCCTATGATAAAACATTGTGAGGGCAACATAATGCTGCAGATGCCTTTCTTTAGCATAGAAGTTGGTCAAAGTAGATGGATGGGGTATAATAAAGGGATACCCTAGAAGAAAACAGGTTTTAGGCCCTAAAAGACTTCAGTTTGAGCTAAATGTCCACCTTCCAACTTGACATTGTCAAAGCTTCAGCAAGATTTCTATTGGTTAATCATTTTGAAATACAATTCTGCATCTCCTTTCACCGCACAGCTAAGCACAACTTTGTGCTGGTCCATTCCCTTTAATCAATTTTTCTTTACAGCAGTCACATTGTAACCAGAGATTGTTGCACAATTATTATCTTCTTCTTTAATACCTAGAATCCATATTATATCATCACATACATGTGTGAACTGAGATGCATTTAGCAGCCTAACAGCACTAGAACAAAAACGTATGTCTGTGAATGGTGTGAATGTGGTAACTTGTAACCCGACCCCCTGTGTCCCCTTCCCTGCCCTGAAGTCAATTTCCTCAGACGCACAAAAGCACGGATAATACTCATTCATTTGATCTTTCGAGCTGTGAAAGACGCTTCCCACCGCTGCTACTGTTACTGTAACCCGGTGTGACTAATTTCACAAACACAAACAGCAATGAAAGGAAGATCATTCTTGCTTAAAAAGAGGAAGTAGTTGATGGACATGGTTTGAATTATGCAAAAACACTGTTGATTTGAATATGTTTGCTAATATAACTGAGTGGTAGCCCTACTGTATGTGTTAAAAGGTCATTCTTTGATATGAAAACCGTGTGTTGTCATGTTTCTAGAAGAATGTGTGACCCTCTTTTAGAGAGAAAGTGGAGATGGAGACTCTATTTCCTTCAAGTCATCTGGTTATTCCTGGCAGCAGAAACTTCTCCAACAGGTAAACATTGTAAATATGCTCATATCTGCTAGTTATTTCCTTTTTTTTTTTGCAGAGAAAGTTACCTTGACCTCTGCAAAGAGCCTTTATCTGGGCCAAAAACTGAAAAAAATTAACATAATGCTTGCTTGGTAATCTCTGTTAAATCCAAAGTTAAATCATGAACCCAAAGCACTGTTGCTTTAAAACAAAGAGGTCCTGTGTTCAATTCCCCGTTAGGGGTGGGAGTTTTCAGAAACTTCAACTGGTAAAAGAAATCACAAAAAAACTCAACCAGAAGTCCTATTTGTATGTTAGTGAAGCTAAAAAAAAAAAGGAATGCAGTGGAATGGTCTTTAAATGAATGCTATGATGGCACAGCGTAGGAAGGCCGTTGAACAGACTCGCATCTTTTCCATGACCACAGGATGAGTCTTTCGACATCGTTATTAAAGAAATGAGAAGCTGGTAATTGCATCAGCTGGGGTCAAATAGCCTGTGGCCAGTTGGAAGATGATCCCCCATGCAGCATGATCCATGAGGAGGCTCATATATATTAGTGGTGTGATTAGATTAGTAAGAGTTATTTACAGGGTCTGTAATTAATTGTTTGCAATTAATTAAATTTTTTCCTAAACCAATTTTGCTCCTAAATTGTTCAGTAAATGTTTGAAAGCAGGCCACACTGGATGGGCAGACATTCCACTGCAGGGCAAACAGAAAGCAATGGCTCAACGGTTTACTTATATTTTAATCAAGGCTACAGTAACAACTGCATATGCAATGGCTTGCTTTATGAACTAAATGAAAACAGGGAAAACTACAGATAATTAACAGGGAGAACATTTAGATGCTAGAGCCACAGAACAAATTTTAGCCAGCAATTACAGCAAAGTTTTTTAAAAGTATTTTGCTGTTTTTTTATTCTTTTGATTGATGCATTTGTTAAAATGCATCAGTCATACAATCTAAATCTGTTTAGATTGAATTTGACTCCTTTACTCCTTTTGATATTAACCTGACTATGAAAATTCTATGTGATAGATTTTTTTTGTAAAAAAAAAAAAAAAAAAAAGAAGCTGTATTTGAATTCAAATTTTAAATTATTTTGTTCTATTTCTGCTGCTGCAAAGCCCGTTTTGTTTGAGATTTCTGTACTTTTGTTCATACCAGGCATATAAACCACCTTAATTACACTTCATCGATCATCAGAAAACAAATAATAAAACCCAATATTTGAAACTGTTATGTTTTCACAGAGGAAAGTGGTGTTTTTTCCCTCATTACCACTTTTGTATTTCTTTTTTCCTAAAACATTCCAACTGTGTGGCTTAACATTTTCTAGCCAATGTTAATGCTTTTTTAAATTTAATTAACCAATATATGCTTATTTTCTTCATGTATACTTCAAAGCAATCAAAATTCTAATTCTGCATTCATTTCTTCCTTTTCAGTGTCCGGATATTTCCTGGGAGACATTAAAGCAGTATTAAATGGCTGTGAAGACCATTGGACCCTTCAGGGTCGGACCTCAATTCCACAGCTTTCCCAGATGACCGTATGTGTTAATATTCAAGTGGTTGTCCCTGGACACTGGGTGGCCTTCTCCTACAGCTCAGTCCGGACACCCAATCCTAATTTAGGTCTGGAGGGAGATGACAAAGCGCTTTATGTGTGGCTACTGCAAGTCCGGCACCAGTTTCCTTTCAAGATTTCTCCAATGCAATGGCACAGGGTGTGTCTAAGGAGGGACGTACAGAGAAATACCTTCAGCCTTGAGGTAATATTCATGTCTACTAGTAAAAATACTTAATATACTATTATAAATGATGAAAACCGTACCAAAATAATATTATTTTACCCAGTTAAGTTTGAGCTAAATCTATAAGGTCTTAAATTGTGTTAAACAAGTTCAGAACCTTTTGTCATTTAAACAATAATAGTCATGGAGAAGGAGGGCAATTGGATATAAAGGGAAGATTTCTCAAATAAGGACAAAGATCTTTTTGTCTTGCTGCTACATAATATGGCTGTTGTAATATCAGTACACAATGTATAGGAGATGGTATTTACAAGCACACGTGATCTGTCCTTGTAAATACAGATAAGATTTTGGTCCATCTTGGCATCAAAGCTTCTCATTCTTCCTGCAGAACTTGACTGAGATTAGGTGTGAAGGTCATTGATATAAACTCATTGTCATATTCAAGAAATCAGTTTGAAATTGTATCTGTTGCATTAAGAGTGGTGTAGTGTCAGATAAATATCTGCTTGTCATTGGTTGAAAAAGTTAACAAGGATTAGAGTGCAGCTAAGGTATACATTGACAGAAAGTTAGCATTATGCCAAAATGCAAGACCTCATTTAAATCTGAATGAGAAAAAGAGCGTGAATTTTTAAGGAAAAGTAGTCCAGACTCATTCCATGGCTTCTGCACACATTGTCGATGCGATGTGGACATAAGCAGGCGAGGGAAAACTGCAATTGAACGGCATGCGAGTACGAATTAACGAAAAAGTAATAAACGTGCAGTAGGTACCTCTTCAATGAGGGCTTTTTTTAATGAAGTTTTGTGTCCCCTGGATGCTGAAATAACTTCCATGGACCTGTGCAAGGTGGACCATACTGTAAAACATCACCAGTCCCACAGAAGTGTAGACTATGGTGTGAAAGTAGATTTTCAGTGACTCACCCCCAGCTAAAGGCATGACCATAGAAAGAGGTCTGCTGTAAACACAAAGACACTGAAGACAAGTTCCCAAAAGATTGTAGCTCTTAAAAAAAAATCAATACTATTTGAGTAGTTGAGTATGTTTTTTTACGCAATTTATTTTGTTGTTTGAATAAAATATTAGGCTTTTTATTATTATGTCTGTTACCTGTTAAATAATTTCTTTAACATTTAAGTCCACACATGTTATGCCTTGTGGCATTCTGCACTTCTAAAGATTCATCTCAGTGGGCCATTTTTAAACACCATAATGTATTAAATAAATACAAATACTGGGAACTAGGGATGCAACTAATTATTATTTTGCAAATCAATTAATCTGTTGATTGTTTTTTCAATTAATTGATTAATAATAAGATTTTTACAAAATGAAACCAGGTGAGACAAAAACATTTCCCTTGAGGTGTTCTGGAAAGAGCATATTGACAAACAAAAAAGTTATTTTATTTTAAATGCAAAGTGTATATATATTTTTTTACAATCTTGGTATAATTACTGCACTAAGTGGGTTGCTCTGTCAGTTGAAGGCACATTTTAGAGCCTCTACACTCCAGCTAACGATTAATTGAATACTAAATTAGTTGACAATTATTTCAACAATTGATTAATCACAATTAATCTGATTAATTGTTTCAGCCCTACTGGGAATCAATACTTTTTTTTACTTTTCATGAATATTTCCTATTCAGCTACACAAGCATCCTTTTTAAGCCCTTTAAAATTGTAATATAAATGAGAATGTACCAGATTCTTATGTACACCTTAGTAATTTATTGATATGCAGCATAATGTCCTCCTTTTTGGTGCTATAGAAATGGCCACCCTAGCTGCTGTGTGTACACTTAGTGTCAGCTACATGTAGCATGATGCTGTGTGCACGTGCAGTATAAGCTATATGTAGCATGGTGCTATGTGCATGCTCAGTGTGAGCAGTACTCTGTTCACCTGGACTGTCCTCTCTTCAGGAAAAAATATAAATCTGTTTGAATGCTTGGATTGAAATGTCTTTTTTGTAAAGTGCTTTGAGATGAAATGCTGTGAATAGGTGATATATAAATGAACTGAGTTGAAATAATGTAAATGGCCAAACCACCTCATGCAATTTCTTTTTCCAGAACCGCAGTATTTTTTTTTGTCACAGTCCCCTATATATGATAGACCTCTTGTTCTTTCCTTTAAGGTAGAGCCGAGTCAAACTAAAATCTTTGGCTTTTCTCTTAAATTACATTTACTAGTCGTGCTGCATATCTGATGACACTTTGTGAGATTGCATTATCTCATTTTTATTATGACAGCGTAGAGCAATGCCCACATAAAGCGAAATAAGTCCCACCAATCTGTCAGTTTCCTGCTATATAATGCCATCCCTGGGGAGGTCAATATAGAGATTCTAGAAATCCCTCATTTGGTTAAGAAAGCAGACAGTAAACTCAGTTTTCTATTCTCTTCTTTTATTAGACTTTTGCTTAATTTTACCAGCTTTGTAGCGCCTAGCCTGTAAAGGTTTAAGGAGCTAGTCTGAGAAATGTGAGCAAAAAACAAAGATGAACTCAAACTGTCTGTGTGCTATTAGTGAATAATTTATTCTATTAACAGCAGTGTGATGAAAGTGAATTATTTCACTATTAGGGCTTGAATTATTATCAATAAACAATGCGTACATTTTTCAGGTTGATTACAAAATAGTAGCGGAGAGGACGGTCATTGCTCAGGCCATCCCCCCATCTGGTTCCCTGTGGCTGGGCTGCCATCAGAGACGGCGGACGCCAGAAGTCACAATGGGAAAAGTTGAGCTCTACCTTTTCCGTATGTGGGCAGACCTGGGTGAACACAGGTCATGTGAAGATGGCACTGTAATTGGCTGGAATGCAAACCACTGGGAAGTGACCAGTCCCAAAGCGAAAGAAACGGACCCTTCTCTTTCATGTGGTGAGACAGATATGAAGAAAAACAAGCTTTACCTTTAATTTTTTCTATTTTATGTTTATTCACTAACCTCAGCATTAGATTAAGCCTCTTTACTAATATTCCAGTTAACTGAATGTAAGATACTTTTCTGATTAATTAATCTCCCATAAATGCAATAAATGCATTTATGTGTGGGGCTTTACCTTACTGTCAAATTCTCCATCATTCCTCTTATCTCATTCAAACACGGGGTTTGTGTTTAAGATAAAATTCAGCCAAGCTTTTAAACACAAAATGTAATTCACTGACATGTTGTTTAAGGGTAATACCAAAGTGACATCAGATTCAAATATATTTAAATTACAGTACATCAATGATTAGAAGAAAGTATGCCCTTCGTTCTTTTAAAAGGAGAAATGATTTGGCATCTAGAAGTTTCTACATTTTCACATCAAATTCCAAGTGTATTACAGGAAAACAAAAAATCATATATTCACACATGTAAAGGGAAGTTTTTCCTTTATAGAACATCTATCAATCAAGTCCATCCATCCATCCATCCATCCATCCATCCATCCATCCATCCATCCATCCATCCATCCATCCATCCATCCATCCATCCATCCATCCATCCATCCATCCATCCATCCATCCATCCATCCATCCATCCATCCATCCATCCATCCATCTTGTTGGTTTCAGGGTATATAGAAACTAGTTTTATCTCTGCAGCACAGCTAATTCACAAAGGTGATTTGAAAAATTGGACCCTTATACATTCAGATTAAAGTCCCTTAGACAGCATTCAATGCCCCTCATCCTTTGTTTTGAAATTTCATTAATCTTAGCCAAAATGTAATTTTAACATTTCGTAGCAAGACTATAACACTAATAGGTCCACTATATAGTAAAAATGTTAATTTCAGTACTGTGAAACGATAACATGTTTTTAAACTTATCTAGCATTAAGAAATGAAAATGACTTTTAAATCCTACTGAGGAAAAGCTAAGAACAAAACCAACATAGAAAGTATAGGAGTTATTTTCAATTTCTCACCAAAATTGCATTTATTTATACATTTATTCTTGTAATATTGCATGCAAGCTCTAAGTGTTTGTATGTCTTTTCCATTGCATGGTTCTAGAGCATGTTGAATGTTGCATGTCTTTATGTGTCTTGTAGAGCACAAGCGATTAAGACGAGGGGCTAATTCTGAGGACTCAGGTAACTGGTTTTGTTTTGTATATGTACATGCGTATATGTTTTCATATGTACATACATGTGTATATACTACATATATATTTACACACACACACAAACAAATATATATATATATATACACTATATTGCCAAAAGTATTTGCTCACCTGCCTTGACTCACATATGAGCTTAAGTGACATCCCGTTCCTAATCCATAGGGTTCAATATGACGTCGGTCCACCCTTTGCAGCTAGAACAGCTTCAACTCTTCTGGGAAGGCTGTCCACAAGGTTTAGGAGTGTGTTTATGGGAATTTTTGACCATTCTTCCAGAAGCGCATTTGTGAGGTCGCACACTGATGTTGGACGAGAAGGCCTGGCTCTCAGTCTCCGCTCTAATTCATCCCAAAGGTGTTCTATCGGGTTGAGGTCAGGACTCTGTGCAGGCCAGTCAAGTTCATCCACACCAGACTCTGTCATCCATGTCTTTATGGACCTTGCTTTGTGCACTGGTGCACAGTCATGTTGGAAGAGGAAGGGGCCAGCTCCAAACTGTTCCCACAAAGTTGGGAGCATGGAATTGTCCAAAATGTCTTGGTATGCTGAAGCATTCAGAGTTCCTTTCCTTGGAACTAAGGGGCCAAGCCCAGCTCCTGAAAAACAACCCCACACCATAATCCCCCCTTCACCAAACTTTACACTTGGCACAATGCAGTCAGACAAGTACCGTTCTCCTGGCAACCGCCAAACCCAGACCCGTCCATCAGATTGCCAGATGGAGAAGCGCGATTCGTCACTCCAGAGAACGCGTCTCCACTGCTCTAGAGTCCAGTGGCGGCGTGCTTTACACCACCGCATCCGACGCTTTGCATTGCACTTGGTGATGTATGGCTTGGATGCAGCTGCTCGCCCATGGAAACCCATTCCATGAAGCTCTCTGCGCACTGTTCTTGAGCTACATGAAGTTTGGAGGTCTGTAGTGATTGACTCTGCAGAAAGTTGGCGACCTCTTCGCACTATGCGCGTCAGCATCCGCTGACCCCGCTCCGTCAGTTTACGTGGCCTACCACTTCGTGGCTGAGTTGCTGTCGTTCCCAAACACTTCCATTTTCTTATAATACAGCTGACAGTTGACTGTGGAATATTTAGGAGCGAGGAAATTTCATGACTGGATTTGTTGCACAGGTGGCATCCTATCACAGTTCCACGCTGGAATTCACTGAGCTCCTGAGAGCGACCCATTCTTTCACAAATGTTTGTAAAAACAGTCTGCATGCCTAGGTGCTTGAATTTATACACCTGTGGCCATGGAAGTGATTGGAACACCTGATTCCAATAATTTGGATGGGTGAGCAAATACTTTTGGCAATATAGTGTATATAGCCTGAGATGCTGTCAGGCTACCCGAGAGATGTCGTTTTTCTATGGGGTTCTAGGGTGGTCCCCTGGGACTCCTGCAAACAGGACGTGCCTGGAACACCTACAGGGTGACGTATCCAAACAAAAACATATACGAGCCACTTTAGTTGAGTTCTCTCCATGTAGAGGAGAAGCAGTTTTAAGGGAGTGCCCATCCATCCTGAAAGCTCATTTCAGCCGCTTGAATCGACAATCTTGTTTTTGGCTGGGGGTACCAAGTGTAGAACAGCTTTCACTGTAATTATAGCTGTAAGTCTGCGGCAGTAACTCTCCATCTGCTATGGACATCTGGAATAAAATGTCTCTACTTTATAAAATTGTTGACTGTCATTCAGCCTGGATGGAAGGCATCTGAGCACAAAAATCAAAACAAATCTTTCCTCAGATCCCAACATGAATCAAGACCAAGAGGTTACCAGGAAAGCCCTGTATACAACGGAAATTTTCCTCTCATTATTTTTAAAAAGCCTCCCTGCCCCTGCGAGGATAACCACCCCCCACAGCGTGAAGCTACCCCCATGTATTTGTCCTACATGGAGTATAGTAATTGAAATCACTCTAGTGACTCTTTATCAACAATGGTTATCATTTCTTTTAAGGATAGATTAGTAATCCATCCATCCATTTTCTGTCACGCTTATCCCAAGTGAGGGGTGCTGGTGCCTATCTCCAGCTGTCTATGGGCGAGAGGCGGGGTTCACCCTGGACAGGCCACCAGCCCATCGCAGGGCAACACAGAGACAAACAGGACAAAAAAACTTCCACACTCACACCTAAGGAGAATTTAGAGAAGCCAATTAACCTAAAAGTCATCTTTTTGGACTGTGGGAGGAAGCCGGAGTACCCAGAGAGAACCCACGCATGCTCAGGGAGAACATGCAAACTCCATGCAGAAAGACCCCGGGCCGGAACTCGAACCTTGAACCTACTTGCTGCTATCCACTGCGCCACTGAGCAGCCAATAGGATAGATTAGTAAAGCTAAATATTACTAGTTATCCTGTTTACAAATTTCCCACCTCTGCCTGGGATCTTTTTTTCATTACTTCTTCACAGTAATCATGGACTTCTAGGCTGTTTCTCTAGTTGATGTTTTAGTTGCCTATCCCACATGTTTAGGATGAACTATGTTCTTGTAGCTGTAATTAAATTATATAGGTAAACTATATTTATGAATTAAGTGAGGAAAATGAAATAAAAATGTACCAAGATAAGTGAAAATGGGAATTATTACAATTGCATAACACACCATATATGCTTACCTTTTTCTTTGCAATGATGCACTAATCGTTTCATTAAGCATCATCTTCAAATATTTATGTTTGTGGATATATGACACACATTTTGAAAAAAAATTGAGAAATGTATATTTTCACTCTATCAATTAGTCTTTATATCAACCGGTGCACAAACAAGGAAAAATATATTAATAGACAAAAATCTCATTTATCAAGTGCAAAGCAACAGATCTGATCATTTTTATCTTGTTTTTCAGCACTCAAAGGTGGACTTGGAAATGTAACCGGATCTTCTCCAGGTAACTCACCTACACTACTACTAATACAGAAATTTTTAATCATACTTTAACTCAGTACCTCACTTTAAAGTCTTGATCACACAATAATGATTTCATGCAATTTTGCATTAAAATTATACAGCGGGACATACCACATGGTTCTGACTTAATATGGATCAAACAGGTTTATTGTTAACACAAATATCCTACATTTGGTAGCGACATAGTAGCAGATTAACAGCTACTTAGCAAACAAACAAACAAAACATCTTTGTTTTGTGACGTCAGAGGAAGAACATTCTGAAAATAGCCCAAAATTCTTTAAGCGAGATGGATTGAAACATTGATGGTTGTTCAAAAACATCTAACGTGGAATTGGTTTGTGTGGTTGAACCATTAGGCAGTTTAATCTCAAGTAATGATGGTGAGGAACAAGGACCTTACAGCTCAGAACCATTCAGAGCAGACCTTTAGCCCACAAAGTCAGACCCTGAGCTGAAGGGTGGCGGCAAGATAGAAAACACACGACAGGGAAACACAGCTTGAAACACCTGTGGTACAGATAATGTAACCAGCTCTTGGTATATCAATATGAATTAGTATATAATACTTTAAATTGACATGATTTTCAAATAAATCCTCCTATGCTATTGCTAGAAATTATCTACCAAATGATCAAAGGTATAGCTAGAAAATCCTGGTGCTGGTTAATGATGGTGAAAGCTGGTCTAGCTGATGTCCACCAATTCACAATAGACCAGCATTGACCAGCATGAGGCAAAAGAAACCAGCATCAGACCAACATAAAGCCATATAGAGCTCAACAAAACCAGTGTGGGCCAGCCAAAAATCCCAGCTTCAATTCAGTCTATTATATGTGTACTTACTGCGCAATTATGCATGTAATATACTGAATTCTCTTTAATTTATTTCAGAGATCACTATCTTCCTCTTATGTCTGTTTTTATCAAGCTCCATGACCTAACTTGTTTCCCCATTTTTAACAACTGGAAAATAGGCAAATTATTTTTCCAGGACAAATGGGAAGCTACATTGGACTGAGAAAGCATGCAACATTTAAGGTTTTAATTTTTATGCATTTTAAATATATATTTACAAAATTTAATACATTTATTGCACATTAAAAGACATAGTATAACACTACCCCCTGACAGCAACAACAAAAAAAAATCTTAAACTAAAACTATTGACTTCTTTTTCCACACAAGCACAAGCTTCTCTACAGACACAGAAAAAAAATCTATCACAATCTATCAAAAATTATTATGAAAAGTCAGAACAAATATATATACATATGTAATGTAAGATTTTATACTTTTATAGCAGTGTCTCAGTTTTGATGCTGGATTTAAAACAAAGCTATAGAAAAACATCCATGCCATGTACAATTTGATTAGCCTCAACAACTATAACACTGTTAAAGACAATACCGAAATATGGTTTACACACTAATATAAAAACAGGCCATATATTTTTATTGTCTTAACAATGACTGCTGTAAGTGCTGAATGGTGTGCAACTGTACCCATATAAATTAGCAAATTTGTACCAATAGTAAGTATCATTTTGATACAAGCATGATATTTGGGAGGATGTTCTGTTACAGTTTACTTAGCATAAAAATTGCAAGGCTCTATTTAGCCATTTCCCATCAATACTAAAAATGATGTAGGATGTAATACAGCAAAGGGCCAGAGTCCCCACACTATTATTGCCACTTTTTTACATAACTTCAGCCCTGATTGATCCAGGACCCACTCCTGACAGACATCTAGAGAGAAGGCAGTAGTTTTGAAAAACTGCGAAAATTTCGTATATCTGGTTGGTTTCAGTCCCTAACGATGCTTTAGTAGACCATCTATAAATCTGTCTATATCTATATCTATATCATATATATCCATGCTTTGTCTTCTCTCATTGCCCACAACCAGAGGTTTACCTTCTCCCCGTCTTCTACAGTTCTACATGTCACTCCTCAGCTTTGCCCATGTAAATCTCATTACAAATTCCCCTACCTACAAACCAACCTCAGTCTATTTTTGCTGACTAAATAACTGTTGTCCATCCAACATTTCTACTGCCAATTGTGTTTCAGTTCCTTGAGTGCATTTGCCACAATGGATGTTACAATGGAACAGTGAGTCCACATGACTTAAACACCTGTGTGAGTGTTGTCTGTGTAATCCGTTGTGGAAAATGGCCTGCCAAGATCCACCAATATTTCACATCATATGAGTGTATGCTGTTTTGAAAGAGGTGAAGATCCAAAGGCAGCTACACAACAGACCAGAAGGATCCAACTGAGCTTTTCCAGAAGAGCTAGAGCAACATATGGAAAATATCAAGAGCCAACTACACAACACATATTTCTCGCCCCAAAATTTTCGGGAGAACTGCACTTAAAGTAGAAGGTGAATGGTGGTCTTCTTAGGAGGAACGACTATGCTAACAACACCAGCTTATTCAACCAGGAAGGAGAGAAAGAAAAGTGAAAAAAACATAAGGTTTTGGAAATCTGACACAGGCTCTCAAGACCTGGACCAAAACACACTTGGACACTGACATCCAAAATCCTAAAGAAAAACAGCAGTTGCGACTACAAAGGCACATAGCTACAACAAACTAAATAGGACTACATGCCTGAAGGAGGGAATGGACAAGATCCTTCTACAAATCACTGAATGTCACCAGCGTCTGAGTGATAATCCTGTAATTCTTAAGCCCTGGTATGAAAAGAAATATCCAAGCAAGAATTACCCGTCTAGAATTAACATCCTAATCAATGTAGATTTCTTTAAGGACAACTGATGCTATTCTAATCTGTCTACTCTGTGATCTGGGAGAAAAAAATCCAGAATAAGTCACATGGACCTTGAAAAATGCCTTTGGCCGGATGAAAACATGGGATAATGCTCTACCAGGGGTCTCAAACTGGTTCCTGAAAGGGCCGTGTGGCTGCATGTTTTCTTTCAAACCAAGCAATGGCACACCAGACTCCATTCATCTCATCAAGTTATCATGTTCAGATTGCACTGAGTTGATAAGTCAGCCCCACGGCCCTTTCTGGAACCGGTTTGAGACCCCTAAACCATGTTCTAGCATTCCGTCTTCACTGAATTCACAGTTTTAAAGTGATCCTTGTTAGTTTGGTTGTCTTGTCCTGTTAACTTCTACTGTTCGGTGCTTAGTTATGTACTTCCTGGTTAAAACAGCCTAATTTTCAAACCCCCAAACTGTCCTCTACAAATTGCCTTTTTAAAGGCAATTTCCAATTATGGATTGGTTCTGAGCTGTTCAGTGCCATGGAGATTCACTAAATACCATCAAATCCCTTGAAAAAAACTGCTCTTTTCATGTCAATTTCCCCAACAAGGTTGCCTTAACCGTGAGTTATACGGTCAAAAATGAAAGAAATTTAAATAAATGATAATAAATAGTGTTTTTATCCTTGGAGAAGTAACATCAAGCTTTCAATACCAATCAGCTAGAACCTTCCTTTGTGGCTGCTTAAGTAATTTACAACAAAGATGAGCAGTGGTTTTTATTTTATGGAGCTCCGTTATGGACAAAGACACAACTATGTTGACCAGCAGAAAAGACCACAGTTTTCCATATACAGCACAGGAAGTGGTAGCAGATGGATATAACCATGTAGCTCAGCAGGATGTTTCCAGAAGCAGAAAATATTCTTTTGTTTTCTTTGTGGTGAAACAGATGTATGGTGTGCTACATCATTCTGAAAAAAAAAAAAACCAAAACAAAACAATAGAAACAACAGAGATAAAAATAATACGGTTGAAACCAAATATACTCTTATTTTATTTTTTCATTACAAGCTAACATTTGCATAGCTGTAAGGGTAGCTGCAACAGGAAATGAGAAAAAAAGTGACGATCTAGAGATATGTTGTTTGAGCCTTTGATGTACTTAAATATATCAGGAAAAATTATATGAGCAATTGCAGCATGCAGTGTTTATTTTTTATTTAGTTTTTTTGTTTGTTATTGTTTTTGTTTGGAACTCTATCCCAACCAACCAGAGTCTAAGGGATTTTTTTTTTTTTTTTTTCTACAAAACCTGCCCAAAGCTGATTAATGTCTGCCATTTATAATTAAGAAATACAATCAAAAGAACAAATTGCAAAAAAATAAGTAGGTTAAACAAAAATGAGTCACTGGTTAACTGGTTAAGTGCATGAGACAGTTTAAAAACCTTAAAATGAAATATATAATATATTTGTTTTTACATCTAAAAAGATGCATTTAGATTTTCCTCAAGACTTGTGCATGCAGCACCTGGCTTATAACAAACTCAGCCTTTAAGAAAGAGGGATAGACTCATATACAAAAACAGTGGTGGTACTGTTATAGTCTGGGGTTGATTGCATCTAAGCCTGATTAAACCATTATCCTCTACCATAAAAATACTGAAGGAGAATTTTCAGCCATCAGTTTGCACCTTAAAGCAACACTGTGCAACTTCTTAGCCTCTAAGGGAACTAAACCTTGGGTCAACGGTTATGCAGTGTCACTTTAATTTAAAGGGCCAAAAGAGTTTTTGGAGAGGCTTAGTCAAAGTCTGGACTTAGAACCAGTTGAGACACTGTGACTTGACTTTCGACCCAAAACGCCATTAATGTCTAAAAGCAAGAACATAGAACAGGAAAGGTGAAGGGGAAAAAAAAGACAAATTACTTGATGGCAGGTCACAGTGGTGACCCCTAGAGTGGCAAGACCAGAGGTAATTTTTTTAGATGTAGTATAGCCAGGATGGTGTGAAAACTGTTTTGGATTATAAAAGGAATCTTTAGTGGATTGTGCACAGCTTTACAGTTAGCTAATGCCTTTTAAGAAAGGAGTCATGTTTCAGAAATCTATCCATCCAGTTCAAGTATGACACGCTAAGAGAGTGGAGGCAGCCCCCCCACCTGGAACCAGTCCGACCAATTTGGTCGCAACAATACCCAGCATTCCTCCAATTACACCCCAGCATCCAGAACAAAGCTCACCTGAAGGATAATTCACATCAAGTCGGTCTACATTCAGGAGATATTTATTGCCTATTTCTGGAGGGGGGTAATCAGAGACATTAGGTTTGTTACTGAGAACAAAATGTTTCCTTTTCTTTCAGGAACTCCCCAAGTTATTTGTGATATCAGTCAATTATGTTCCAACACCAGTAAGAGTCACTCTCACTACTCCAATCTGACTGTTTCTAATTGACATTTCGTGGCCTAACTTTGCCTTATCTCTACCTTCAGGTGCTTACTACTGGATGTCCATAAGTGTGGAAAATGAAACAGAATTTGCCCTTAACTTGGTAAGGACGCCCCCATCAAACGTGACTGTGTTTCCTATGCATGCTTCCATTATTCTTTCACTAATTGATGCATTTAATTACTATAAATGTCACATACCCAGAAACCAGTTTAACCAGAGCCATATCAGCATGTAGAAGCAGAACAATTTTGCTCTGTTAAGCACTTAAAGGCAATTTTAAAGTGAACCGACCGCTTGACATAATTGTGTAGTTAATAACCAGACAGCATCTTCTGACATTTACAGCTCTGTGGCTCTTTTTCCACTGTGGCTGTATGTTGGCCACCCTGCATATTTTTCTACAAGCCCTGCTGTGTAAAAAAAACTCAAATAATATGAGTAAATAAAAATAAAATGAATACATTTTCATTTAGCAGATTATTTTGCTCAGCAAAAAAAACTGAACTCCTTGCTGTTATAATAGCTATGTACCCATTTTGCCAATATGTTCAGTCTTTATGAGTCTTGCAAGAGTATTCACATCCTTCAGCTTTTTTTATATTTTGACATATTCTATCCTAAAATTTCTAACAATATTGCCAGCATTGTATGTAATAAACAAACCAAGCCTTTTTAGGGATGAGAAATGGGTGAAAACCGATGAATGATTTTCATTAATATTTATTTTTAGAAATGACAGAAATCTGAATTGGCTATTTAGATTCACTCAGCAAATTAGAAAATTATGGAAAAGTCCTTTTATTTCAGTTCCTCTATTCACTGAGTGAACATATGAGACAGATGTTTTCAAGCTTTTTTTAAAGATAGGGTTTCTCTTGCTTTCAGAGAATAAAAAAAAACATCTAGGAAAAGAATATTACATCAAAAATTTAAAAAGAAATTAATTTATGACAGAAATGTGGTTAATAAAGTTCAATTTTATACCTGCTTAAAGTTTTTTTAAGGGTTTTCTTTATCTGATAAATACCGAAGCCACATCATTGTAATTTCTGAACATGACTTTATGTCAATTACATGCATATGCTTTCATCATACATTTTATTGGAGCTCTGATTTCCTTTGATTTTCCCAGATTTAGCACCATCAGTTACTGTTTTAAATCTGACCAGCTTTCTTATTGATCATTGATCATGTTGCTACTGTTGCTTAAAAGCCATATTTATGAAATATACAGCTGATTGTTAAGGTCATTCCAATTTAACTGCAGATCTTTGCAGATCCTCCAAAATAAAATACCTTTAATACTGTTAATTGAAAAATAAAATCCCAAGTAGTTTGTAAAAATGACTATTATAATAATTTACTGTAAGCTAATTCGGAAAACCTTACTGTTTCCGCTTTTAAAAGAAAAGATTGCAGCTGATTTTCTCCCTTCAGCCCAATTAAAAATGGTTTGCAAGGTTAACTGATGGGGAAACACCTCATGCTCTTTATGTTCTCCTTAGGAAGTAACAATCTGTTAAACAGCTGTCAGTTCCCCAAATCCACTGGTCACTGGAGGGTTCAAATAAAATTTGCAAGTAGATGAGCTTAAAGTGCAGAAAAACAAATATTTGATGGCGTGCAAAAGTCTGAACAAAAAACAAAACACCACAGGGCACAGATTCTTCATCTTTATTCAACTTTCTGGTTCAATAAAGACGAGGGGAGTTTCCAATAAAAACATTATCGTTGTATTTCTCCATAATGTTCAGGTATGGGAAAACAAACCTAGATATCTGCAAAGTGCCAGACATTTCTATTAAATTTCCCCTGGAAAATCACTTCAGACTGGCCTTGTTTTTTTTTGCAACAGATCTAGTCCCTTTAGATGCAATAAAATGCCGAAACAAATATCAAGTCATGCATCTACCATTAAACGGCTAGTTGAACTGTTAGTTCATATCCACAGTGCACAGTGGTAGATGGAGTCCAGCGACATTTCTCTTTCTGCTTGAAATTAATGTGTTAGAGTTTTACTACAATGATCTGCTTTTATCTGCTCCCATCTCTCACTCAGGTGTCAAAAGTATTTTCTTGCAACAGGACCAGCGGTGAGACATTGACGAGCAATTCAAACTGTATTAATTTATTCAATGATTTTCCGGAACTTGAGGTAAGACATTTCCACAAACATGACAACAAATCTTTACTTTTCAGCACTGATGTTTTTTGTGTAAATAAGACCAAGTGGTGTAACTGCTCTTCTCAGTTGTTGCAGGTTGAGGAAGTTTCATGCAGGGAAAACACTACATCCAATGAAAGGTACTGTAGCAATAAGTCCATATAGTTGTTAGATAACTTCTGCAATTAGGACTGCAGGCATTTATCTGTAAATATTTGAACACCTTTTTTTGCAGACAAACCGTATGCAGTGTGGTTCTGTTCCTCAAACATGCAATTTCAGCATGTGATCTGCAACAGTATGGAGAAAAGGCCCTGAAAAGTGAATCCGTACAAGCACTCATCACAGGGAATGTTGAGAGAGTTGGTGAGCCAGTCTGAGATATGAGATATGCAAATGTAATTTTCACTTAAAGGCAAAAGGAGGAATACAACATAGACTATCCTCTGTTGCATGTGCTCTTTATCACCTGCAAGGCAGAAATTTTAAATATCAACTCAAGATGAATGGGATAGACACTATATATACACAAAGCATTCACAATATGCCATTTGAAGATCTTGGTAAAGTTTGATGATGTGTTTTGTCAGCCTAAATCAAAGAAATATCTGAATTTTAATAAGAATTTACTCACACATTTAGACTCTTAGGCTTGTCAAAGTACTTACGTTTGTAATTGGAATATTCTTTTTTTGGCTCAAATTTGCATCTTAAAGTTGTCATTTGAGGTAGTAGGAAATTTGCTGTTTAATTCAAACCAGTTCAGGTCTATTCGACCTAGTCCAATCCAATTTAGTCTTATGTTTAATCTATTTTAATTCAACCCCATAAATTCAATTCTTGTCAATTCTATCTTTTTCAATCTAGTCTAAATTGTTCCAATCCAATACAATCACGCAACCTAACCTCATTTTACTTCAGTCAATCAAGTCAAGTCCAACACTGTTATGTTGAGAAGTCATTTGCACCCAGTTCCAATTCAGCTCAATCTAATCCAATTCGGATTTAAAACTAGTCCACCCCAGTTCGATCCAGATTAATTTAAATATATTCAATTAAGTAGACTAAAATCCTGCCTAATCAAGTTTATCTAGTTACATCCAGTCCAATTAATCTGATTTAATTCAAACCAATCTGGGGCAATTTACTCCAGTTCAAATTAATTCAATCCAAATAACCAACAGGCTACAAAATGTTATTTGCAATTTTTTGTGTAAAATAAAAATGAATACACAGTCGACTCTAACAAAACCAACAGATTCCAATGAATCTTTATTTCAAATCAGTTCTAATGTTTAAGTTATTTATATAAATAATTCGTTCTAATCTGCACTTTGTTTAATGCCTGCTGTTGTTAAGATGCTTTATTAATAAAGCTGCTTCGGCTTAGCAATCCTAAAACCATAAGCAGACAAAGGAAAGCTAAACTCTAGAGATACTAGGTTTTATATAGCAGGACAAAAGAAGTAAATGTTTTATGAACGTGTTTCTTTCTAATCTCATTGTAAAGATATCACATTAGATAAAGGTGGCACAACAAGTTTTAAGGGACTGAGACATAAGTATATATCATCACTTTCATAACAGCAGAGGTTCCAGTGTTTTCTGGGCTAAAGGAGATAATATAGGCAACTTAGGAAGCTTTAAACTCAACACTGCTGATTATTTGCTTCTGTCAAAACAACCCAGCTATCTGATCAAACGCAGGTAAGCCCTGTGAAATCGGACCAGAAAATGGCGCATTACACCCAAGATATATCACAGCAAAATGTAATTACATCAGAGGATAGTATAAGAAGTCTTTTCAAAAGTTTAGAAAACAGGGTTGTACTCAAACTAGACTGATTAAAACTTCCAGCATATGAGATTTGCTTGAAATAAAATGGGATGTGATCTAATGTGGGATCAGCTTTCAGTCATTGACTTGAAAGCGGGAGACTCGGGTTCCATGCTGCACTTCAGTTATGAAAACTGTATCTTCTGCCAAGTGCTCATTTGTGGACTTTGCCAAGTGTAACAGGCACGTCCTAATGACTTGATCTGGTCACCACTGAATAAAGGGAGTAGCTGAAAGGACACAAACAAGGTCGTATGTAGGATCAGGTGTTATCGCTCACTTCTCAAAACTGCCGTAGTCTACACCATTGTAACTTACCGCATTATGCATGCATGCAAACTGGAGGCAAATGTTTTACATGGAAACACAACATGACTTAAATATAAACAGCCTTCATGTAAATACAAAGAGCTTTAGAAAAGGGTGCACACAAACATGAACTCAGTCTGTAAGGAATGTAAGATGAAATGCAATCTTCAAAATTGCTCTAAATCTCTAAGAATGTAATGTATTTACTGTAACAAGTTAAAATCATGTAAAGGCCATTATTTTGTTGGTTTCTACCAAATCAGGCCGGAAGCTCTGCAAGGATGGGTTGCCCCCTAGTGATGGTTTTGTGAAATGCATGTCCAATTCTTCCCTGGATGAAATCTGTCAGTCAGAGGAAAGAACCAAAGTCAAATGGTGAGCTGTGACCCATATTGCAAGTTGGGTGTTCTGTGTCCATCTGCACACTCTATATGTTCTGTTTCTTCTACAGCTCTGTCTTGCAGACAAACTCTGTGCCATCTCCACAAGAGACGACAAACTCCTGCAATCGTATGTATGATGTGTTCTGACAATGTTCCCAGAACAAGTGGACTGTGGTTTCTGATGATTCTGATCATGTTCCTCTGTGTCTCAGGGAGCACGCCTCGTTACTGTGACTGTTCTGCTTCTTGTAACACAACAAGTAAGAGAAGAGAAATTAGAGCCTACAAAATCATTCATACTTCCTGACCTTTTTTCCTTGTTAGCCTTGTGCTTAGTACTTTTTATTGATTAGTTTTATTCACTTTGTACAGTGTCTCACTCTCCTGCAACTGTTTCTCATCTTTTGCTCCACTCAATCCAACCCCCCTTCTGTATTAATAGTAATACTCCAATGTTGAGTCATTTTATTGCCAGCTCCTTCTTATGAAAGAAAGAAGAGGCTAGATGAAAGACAATTGTCAAGACTGATTAAGTTGTGTAAGCGACTGAAATAGATTTTTTTATTTTTAATGAAGCGAAAAAACCTTTAAAAAAGAAACACCAACTTTTAATCAATGCAATCCATGTGAAAACATTTTTATTATAATAGTTTTCAAACTGTTCTGCTCCCGCTTTTTCTACAACATCTTTATCAGTCTATTGGGAGATTATCTAAGGTAGCCTATCTGCAACCCAGATCCCAAGTACCCCAAATAAAAGGTGGTATTATTAATGGTGTTTAATTCATATATATATATATATATATATATATATATATATATATATATATATATATATATATATATATATATATATATATATATATATATATATATATATATATATATATCCATACATCCATCCGTCCATCTTCCTTCGCTTATCCGGGGTCGGGTCGCGGGGGCAGCAGCCTAAGAAGAGAAGCCCAGACTCTTTATATTTGTTTTGTGCCAGACCTAAATTGTCTAAGTAGGGGGTCCACGGAGGTACTCCATGGGGGTCGTGAAAGGTTTGGTGGATTAAACCTTTTTTTGAATTTCTCCCCCTCAATTTTTTCCACTAATTGAAAAGCCTTTAAATACTCATTAACATGAATTCAACACACTGTAGTAAACAAATAAATGGAGGCAGAAGATGTCTTTCAATCATCAATGCACACATTCAGCAACACACAGGAGGTCTTTCAACCTGGGTACCGTTTTATTCCCAACACCTGTCCCATCAGTGAGGAATCAGAATCAGAAATACTTTAATAATCCCAGAGTGAAATTACTTTTGTTACACGACTGCATATGTAATAGAGTGACTATAGGGCCAGTTTGATATTAGACAATTTTACACAATATATATAATTAGGGGGTCCCCGCTCCATCTCGCCATTAGTTTGGGGGTCCTTTGCCCTGAAAACGTTGAAGAACCCTGGTCTAAGTGTTGAATTTATATAGGTCATTTGGTTTCGTTCACTGGTATTCCAGGGCTCGTTCGCCGGATCTTACAGTGTAGCATAATGGCATGTCTCTGTACATCTCACTTCCCCGCTTCCAGCCTTCATACCTTCTTCTCATATTAGATGACTTAGATACCAAATGTCTAATTCTAGAGGAGCTGTGGAAATCTTAAGCTTAGCGGTTGACCTGTCCACATTCCAGCCTTGGTCTTGTTTGTACTACAATTGTAAAATACCTAAAACATATCAGATGTTTCTTCTCCTCCACAGTTATTAGCTTCTTGCATTGCTCTGTCATATAAAATCTCTATAGAATACACCAAGGTTTATTATTTTTATGTTAGCCAGGGTCAAAAAAGCACTGTGCCCCAGGTGTGTTTCCCTCTCATAAATTATAATATATACTTTTTTTTTCAGGCCAGCTTTATGCTATAAAAATTAAAATCAACAATAGCACGGTGACAATTGATCATCTTAAACACTTGGTATGTAAAAATAATGAACTTAATTTTCCTACAATGTTTAATATCCTCTAAACAGAGAATTACCTTGTTTGACAGTTAAAATCCTATGCTTCCACTCGGAACTCAGGAGAACAAGAGTAAGTTGTATTTTACTTCAGTCATCTAAACATTTTTAACTAAATTTAACATTAAATTTCTGTGTCTACCAGAAATGTTCATAATGTTTTTTTTTTTATAACTGAGCTGCTTGGCAGTTTAAAAGTATAATTAATGACTTGTTCATGTTGAATCCGTTTGGCTTGAACATTTGTTATTTTGTGATCAGTAGATATAGTACGAGGTTACCAACTAAATGTAAACAACCTCTTGTTTTCAGCTTCAATAACTATTCAGACATCTTTGAAAAGCACAAGGTATATCTTACTGCAAATAGCCTTGATAAACCTTCTCAACTCTTGATAAAATATGAAAAACTGTAACTCAATGTCTTTTTACCCAGCGGACACATCTGGAATGTCATGGAGTGAAGAATGAGAGGTAAATAATTCTTTGCCTTTTTTAAGGGACAGTTCGGAATTATTGGTCTGATGTTCTATTAAAACCTCAAAAGCAAATATAATCTTCCCTGTTTAAAAAGTCATATATAACAGATTCGAAAATTTTCATATACATAGGTTAGTTTCACACAGTAATGTTTCCAAGCCTTTGTTGTTGTTTTTTAATGATGATGATTTTCTGCTTACAGTCAAAGAAAACATGCCATCAAGATTAGAAAATACTATAAGATCTATAAGAATATGAGCCCTTTTGCGGTATTATTGAAAGCATTGTTTAAAAACTAACTATAGTTTTAGGGATTTGTATGAAGAATGGTTGCTGGGATGCAACAAACAATAAATATTTTGAATTTTATTATATAAAACTAAATATTTCTTACTCTTTCCATTGGTACAGGCTCTACAGCTGCATGGTGGTATTGGAAATGTCCCAACCTGTTAATTACTGCTCTCTCAGAAAACTTTGGCAGCTCATCATTAAAGAGAAAAAGTTCATCACGTCTGATGGCTCACCCTCTCGAATGAGTTAGTGTGCCTTTATTGTTTTCACTTCTTACCAACTATATTACAGTTCTCAAAATCAAAGCATCAAAGCTTTGAATGGTCTTATTTCTGTGCACTGGTAATTTTGCATTATATTTTATATCAAACCACAATGAAAAATGTATTGACTTTTGATTACTTTACATTATAATGAAAAATTAACAATGGGCTGTGCATCAAAATAGCATTTTCTGCCTTATTCTTCTCACAGCAAGTAAGCATGTCTTTACTACTACTGTTCAAAAAAGACCTATTATTTTCAAGAATAAAATGTGTCATGTGTATATTCAGAAAATAGAAGGCGGTAGCCTCCAAATGATGTATCACACATGTAATGTGGGCTTACAGTTCCTCAGTTATTTGCTTTTCCATTTGGGTATGCAAAATAGGCGAGAATTTCCCAAAATGAGAAGGACATTAAGAGGATATACGAAAATAATGTTTATGATTCCTGTGTATCTCCATTAGTCTTTAGAGGAGTTGATTTGTTCTTTGGTAAATTGAATAATCTTGAGCCCTTTTGATTGTTAACAGTGGGACCACTGCCAAAAGCTTAACACAGCTGTGGATTTCTCCCATCCATTAAAGTGGTATTCTTTCTTTTTTTCCATCTCAATCTGGTTTTGCTGTCAAATTTTAAGCATTGGAGATTGTTTTAGCAGATTTTTCTGTTACAATTTTTTGCGTTTTAGCACATGTTTTTCTCTCCACTGTTCTTTTTAAAACCCGTATGGTTAACCTTTTTTTGTCAGGTTTTCCGAGAGATATTGATTTTATAGTAAAGGCCGCCTTTTTGATATCTATTTCTTGACAGAATGAATTAAACTCCCTTTTTTTCTATGAATTAATCATTACACAAACGTAGAAGCAATACGGAAACTGATGGTTTTCTCGAGAAAAAAGAGTTAATTTTCTCATTATGTAACGGTAACGAAAGCCGTTTTTTCATGATAATGAGATAATAGTTTTCTCATAAAAAAAAAAAAATATATATATATATATATATATATATATATATATATATATATATATATATATATATATATATATATATATAATTTTTTTTTAATACCATTACTGACGGGGTTCTTTGTCTCCTCAGTGGTGTGTGGTGGGGATCCTGATTTGTCTAACCTTACTGTGGTGGCATTAAACCTGACATGGAGTGAAGTTGATCTGGACTCTTCTCATTTTTGTCAACCTGACCCTTTTCGCCTAGAATGGTATGCATTTATAAAATCCAATCCAACTTTATTTATATAACACTTAAAAAAAACAAAAAAAAAAACAATAGGACCAAAGGGCTGCACAAAAGCAGAAACACAAATACCATAAAAAAATCCTTAAACAATCCAGAAGAATACAATAGAAAATAGTAAGTTTATTTGTAAAGGACAATTCAGTAAAAAGACACCTATGGAAAGAAAGCTTTGTCCTGACTAAACTTCACTGTGGGTGACCACAGAAGGCAGAAGGTACAGAATGGAAGCTGTTTGTATTATTGAGCCAAGTTACATAGTTATCTCATGTTCTTATGTTTAAAACAAAATAGAAAAAAAGTGTTTTCAATCTCTAAGAAAACAATAGATGGTCAACATTTACTTTACAACACTAATGCACTAGAACTAAAATGTTTTTTTAATTAATTATTCACAGGCCAGTATGTGGACTGTATTTCCTCTGTAGTGTTATAGATATGCTATTAAGAATACGTATAACAAAACAAGGTATAACAAATTATTAGTCTTAAAGACATCAAATTCTGGTAAACACCTAATCCCAGATAGTACTTTTTTATGTTTAATGCAACACATGCAGATTTGGACTTCCTGTGTTTGAACTGTTGTAATTATTCAAAATGACAGGACAAACGCGAGCAAAGCTAGTTGATGGAATTCAAACAACTTGTCTTATATATTTAATTTGTTTTTTTCTTTTTTCTGTCCATAGTAAAGCTAATGAGACGCTTGCTGTTCTCTTGGCGGACAGTTGCCCTGAAGAACCTGAAACACTGAGCACTTTTCAACCCACTACTCCGAATGCTATCCTCACTGGCATTTCAACTCTGAACCATACAAGTCAAAACACTGAGCGAAAACAGACTACAAGTTCAAAACCATCAGACAGATCAACCCTATACAATTTTACAACTGCTTCCAATACTTTGACTTTAATGACAGCCACAGTCAACTTAACTGGCAAAACGGTGTCAACAACAGAGAGTTTCTCTACTTCCACTGACACAGAAGATTTTAATGAATCTAGCCTTAGACCATCCAATAATATGACAACAGAGACTATAGCCATTCTCTCTTCATCCAATAAAACTGAAAACCATAAGAAAACTACAGTGAAGCTACCCACCATTTACACAACATTGAATTCAACTAGTGTCCTTACATCAGGTGAAACTACAAGGTATGACACCACCACCGTTAGACCCTCCTCCAGCAGCTTAGTTGTGTCTGGTGTAACTAAAGCTGCATCCGGGGAAACTTCTAGCAACAATGTAACTGCAGATGTATACTTGTCTAAAGACACAACTCTGTATAATGTAACTACACGGAATATATTTGCAGTCGGAGAAACAACACAGGAAAATGTAAATAATGCAATTAACCAGAGTACCAAAAACAAAAATTCTCCAAGTCTCCAAGTGACATCATCGGGCAATAATTACATAGAACAGCAGAATGGAACTAAAGAAGCAAACACTCCAACATTACCAACTATTGTTAGAAATCACACCAGCCCATCTGCAACACCCAACAACAACACAATATTTTACAACCATAAAAATCTCAGAAACAATTACACAACAGCTGACAAGGCATCAACACACAGTTACAGACTTACATCTCTCTACACAAACATGAAACCAATTAACAATTATACATCAGTGTATGAAGCTACAATACCATCTGAAAACCTCACAGCAAATTACAATGCTACAAACAATGGCACAACATTATATAATGACACAACACCAAGTAAAAAGGAAACAGGCATGAGCCCTACTACAACACCCACCAACAACAACAATAGCCTGAACAATAAGACAACAGTCTACTCTGCTACAACACCAAACAACGATAAAACACTAGTTAGCCCTACCACAACAACCATCAACAACAACCTGACAACAGTCTACACTGCTATAACACCAAACAATAATGAAATACTAGTTAGCCCTACCACAGCAAGGGTCAACAACAAGGGCAACCAGACAACAATGTACACTGCTACAACACCAAACAATGATAAAACACTAGTCAGCCCTACCACAACAACCATCAACAACAACCTGACAACAGTCTACACTGCTATAACACCAAACAATAATGAAATACTAGTTAGCCCTACCACAGCAAGGGTCAACAAGGGCAACCAGACAACAATGTACAATGTTACAACACCAAACAATAATGAAACACTAGTTAGCGCTACCACAACAATGGTCAAAAACAGTGATAACCAGACAACAGTCTACAATGTTAAAACACCAAACAATAATGTAACACTAGTTAGCCCTACACCAATAACCATCAACAACAATAAGAACCAGACAACATTGAACAATGCTATAACACCAAACAATAATGAAACACTAGTTAGCCCTACCACAAAAATGGTCAATAACAATTACAACCAGACAACAGTGTACAATGTAACAACACCAAACAATAATGAAACACTAGTTAGCCCAACCACAATTACCATCAACAACAACAACCAGACAACAGTCTACAATGCTATATCACCAAGAAATAATGAAACAATGTTTGCAACACCCAGCAACAACACAACAATCTACAATGCAACAACAACCAGAAACAATTACATAACAGTGCACAATGGTTCAGATCCCAGCATTGACCACAAATCATCCTTCGACCTAACAACACCTAGCAACAGTAACATAACAGTCTACAATGCTACAACACAAAGTTATAATGAAAAAGCACTTAGCAATACTACAATACCCAGTAACCAGAACACAACAGTCTACAATACTAAAACAGGAAGCAACAATCATAGCACAGTATACAATGCTAAATCACTCACAGAGCATTACACACCAGTTTATAATGCAACCACAGCTAAAAACAATTTCACAGCAGGTAATAATGCAACAACACCCCAAAACAATTTAACATTAGTCTATAATGCTACAACACTCACTGAAAATCTTATACCATATAATAAAACAACCAACAATTTCACAACAGTATATAATACAAAAACTACAAACAATTACAGAACAACCAACAGTGCCTCACTTAATGAAAAACATACAAATGAGTATAATTTAACAACAGTCAGCAGCAATTACACAACACTAAATAATTCAACAACATCAATAAAAAAAAACTACACAACATTTACTGCAACAGCACCCAGTAACAACTATACAACAGTCTACAATACTACAGCAATCACTGAAAAACACTTACACAACTATAATACTACAGCATCCAGCAACAATTACACATCTGTCTACAATGCTACATCGTCAAACACCAAACACACAGCTGTCCAAAATACCACAACACCCAGCAATAGTTATACAACAGAGCAAAATGTAACAGCTAAAAACAATCATACAACAGTCTATTATGCTACTAAATCCAGCATCAATGTGACAACAGTGCACAAACTAACCATGACAAGCATAAATTTCACAACAAATCAAAATATAACATACATAACCAGCAATTTTACAAATAAATATAATGCAACACTTTTTACAACAACCTCCAACACAGCATCACCCTCTAAAAGTAGCACAACTAATATGGTAGGAGTACAAAATACAACTGCATTGAATTATTCCAGCACTTTGCACCCTGCAATCAATTCCTCCATTATTTACACATCAGTAACTAGATCACCTCGAAATGCAACAACTGCATTCAACATCTCCATTGCACCTGTAGATCCACAGCAGATCACAACCACTCTCAACATAAATACAACGGTTGTAGCAGCTCTTACAGAAGTAGGCAGGACTACAAAACTAAACTCAACTACAGAGAGTTGGACTTCACTTGCTGACAAAGGCACAAAACCAACGCAACATTCAATGTTAAACCAGACTGGAAACCGGACCACAGTTACTGTTACTCAAACGACAACTGTTTACAAAAATGACAGCAACTTAGGTGCAGGTTTCAGCACTATTCAAGCAACCAAACCATTACGTTCCAACTTAACAAAAGACACTGTTTCCCCTTTCACTGCTACAACTGTAAACACAATTTTAACAACACATGATCCTACAAAGAAAAGCCCAGTGTCTTCGGCTACAAAGACAACAACTCTCCCAAGCGACAAAGCCACAATGAGCACAGTGACCAGTAAGTAAAGCTTCTACTCGTCAAGTTCTTGTCTGATAAAGACTTTAGGTTAGGCGAAACAAACATAGAGCCAGTTAGGTTTGCAATATGTAATCATCTTTAACCTTTTCTTAGGCACTGGAAATACATTAATGACCACTATGAAGACAAGCACAAGTACAGAGAATAAGGAGGAAAAGGCAAATGAGCTGTTGGACCAAACAGAAGATGTGTCCAAGCTAAACTCCTCTCTGGTGAAAAATCGAATTGAAATATAGTTAAAATTGTGAACTATAGGTATATAGTTTACTAATTGAATGTGTGTTTTAGGTGTCTAACCTGGTGGGGAACCTGGAGAAACTTCTGGAGAGCCCATCCATCTCTCAGTCAGTGGGAAAAAAAGTTATTGATATCATAAGCAACCTCATGAATTGTGACCCAGAGATTCTTTCTGGATCAACAAATAGGTCTGACTGATACAATAATTCCTCAAAAAAACAGCTATAGATATTTTTTTATCTTTTGTAATGTATACATTTTCTTTGCTGATGACAGGCTGATTCAGCTAGTGGATACATTGGGTTTAAAGCTGGAGGTCATGGGTGTCAGTGGGATGCTGTCCTCAACGTCTCTGGTTCTGGCTATAAAGACGGTGGATGGGACAAACTTTCCTGAAACCTCTGTTGAGATTTTTAACACTGATAATGTCCAGGTAAGACAGTGAGGAGTGTGGCCTTTTTGTCTAGTTCAACCTCGTCAACCCCTTTAGTATTAGGGTTAATATATTTTCCGAACATAATTTCTACATATTTGGTCCTACCTCCATATCTGGAGTTGTGAACTTGCCCTCAGCTATTACCCATTTTTACCTGACTCTTTTGGTTTTGAAGAGTTATCAACCTTGGATGAAAAAATCCTATTACTCTTCTGTGGAAAGTGTGGTCTCTTCTGTGGTCAATTGTTGGGGTAGTAGCATCAAAGCCCATTTCTTAAAGGGAAAAAGAATACTGCTTCCATTTTGCAGCTGCTGAACTAGGGCTTGCATGCCTGACTGTGGAGAGAAAACTGCTTCATAGAATAGAGACTATAATGATGACATGCAGTATATAAACCACAGATTTTAGCCAGAGATGTCTTCATATCTGATGTAACCCTTTTAGACCACACCATTTAGCATCTAAAACAACTTTCAAATGGATGAAATTTTGATGAAGAGTCTAACAAGTTTTTCAGATTTCTGGTTGCCTAATCGGGCTGGACATAACTATAAACAAATAACCACACTTCATCAACATTCACCAGCAATATATCTCAATCTACTAAAGTTTGGTTCTCTTGACATACCTCGGTTTGTCTGTCAATAAAAATTTAGTATTAATGGCATTATCGTCAATGTACAAGACTACCTTTAGCAACATAACTTTCTTACAATATTGAAAAGACAGCGTTAATACTGTTTTTGGAAAAATTGACCTATTTCTGAACAACGTGAATAAGTCTGATCTGAAACCAAGGACTTAAAATGCAAATACTGGTATTTAGGCCAACATGGCCTGATATTGCTCAGTTAGGATGTAGCTTGCAGTGAAATATTCATCATGTTATCTTTGTGTTTTGCTTCTGCATTTTTTTCTTCAGCTCCGAAGCATCAGTAGGTCTCGGGTCAAAAGGTCAGCTTCTGCTTTGGGATCTGTGAACTTGCCCTCCTCCCTTACAGCAGGTCTACTTCCTGAAGAGAAGCTGCAGGCCAGCAGAGTCCAGTTCACTTTCTACAAAAACAATTCCTTCTTTCAGGTACAAGCTGCTGATAAACATCCAAATGAATCAATAGGACCCCACTGTTCTTGCAGTTATGGCTACAGTACAAGTGTTTTTATATCTGCAAAATGAGTTGTTACTCAGATAATTTATCTTGCACTCGCTTACATGCACTTAAATATCAAATTATTCATACAACTACAAATTGCAAAATGCATGACGCAGAATTAAAAATTTAACAATATTTCAGACTCAAAGTATTGAAATAGTTTAAGATATGAATATGATAAAGAATATCTGTAGGAAGATCGAAATAACCCTATAATGCCAAATGTATCCTATTTGATATATGGTTTCTTAAAAAACTCTGAAATAATTTCTCAGTACTCTCCATTTCTCTGGCTGAGTACTCTCAGTTCTCTTAAAGAAACAGAAACAAACAAAAGAAGGAACTTTTATAATTTCAATGATTCCACAGTATGTATAGAAATATACACACTTTAAGGTGGTCCAATGCATAATCTTAATCTTGGGAAGAAAGTTCTAGACTGTAATCAGGGCAGAAATGGGCATTTGCTGCACACATTATTTGTAATGTGAAAAGTGATCCAGATTTTTTCATGATTACTGATTTTAAGTCTGGTGTATGCGTATTTGATCATCACTGCTTGATCGCTGGTTGCTCTGGATCTTATTTGAATGTATATGGGTAAATACAACTTAATGTATTTATGAATATCCCATTTTTCAATAGATTTTTTCCCCCTAAGATATCGTGAAACCATATTTGATTTTACGTCACTTTCAAAAATACACACTACTTTGTTTGTTCGCCAGATCAAATTCCATTGCAATGCATTAAAGGTTGTAGCAATGAATAATTCAAGATTTCATTGGCATAACAAAGCACTGCAGTAAAAAGTTTCAGATATCCACCTTTCAGGAATATGCTGATGAAGGTTCTCAGTCATCCAGGCCATAGTTATTTCATAAAAATTCAAGAAATATCCAGTGGACTTGGTTTCCAAGATTTGAAGACGTTTCGCCACCTCTCCAGGAAGCTTTCTGGAGAGGTGGCGAAACGTCTTCTTCAAATCTTGGAAACCAAGTCCAGTGGATATTTTTTGAATTTTTACGGAAACTCTTTTCAGGAAGGAAAAAATGTCATTATCCTTGTAGAGCTTTTATATGTGCTTGAGAAACTTATGAGAGGCTTTAAAAGTTTTTATAATTGTTTTTTCTTTTGCAGGATTCTTCCTTAGACAATCAAACAGTCGTCAGTTCTGTTCTGGGCTCCAGTGTGGCTAATTTGTCAATAAGCAATCTCAAGGAAAACATCACTTTTACCATCAGGCATATGAGTTTAAGTCTTGTGAGTATAAGTAATGAGATTACCTGAGAATCTAGATTTTGATCTAAACAATGGTTTAGATCAGAGTGGTTAGCCTCTAGCTGTGTAACGTCATATTGATAGAAACCCAAAACAAAACTAATACTGTCGGAAAAAAATCTGCCAAATAAACATTCTTAAACGTTTATATTATAATTAATTTTTTTGAAAAGTAAAACATCTGGATTTAAATTGATTATAGTAAAAAAAATATATAGCTCCTTCATCTGGAGAGCGTCCTCCGTTTAGAGCTAGGGAGGAAAATGCCTTAAACTGCAAGAATGGACGTCTACTTGTTGGTTTTTATGCATTTTAAGATTTTCATGATAATCTTCACCCAATAATTGTTACTTTACTGTATTCGCCCTTTAATGTTCCTTTTCTTGGTTTTCAGAATGACATCACATCTTGTGTTTTCTGGAATTTCACTAAGAACAGTGAGTGCAAACATCTGGGTCTTTTTCAGGCCTTAAGAAGACTGCAGCCATTCACTGTCTGCCTTTTGTTCTGGTTTTAGACAAAGCAGGGGGCTGGGATGACAATGGCTGCTCTGTTGCCAACACCACTGCAGAACACACAACCTGCAGCTGCAACCATCTAACCTCCTTTGCCATACTGCTAGTAATTCTGTTTGTTTCTCCTTCTAAAACTCCCTAAGTGGGACCCACTAAAGGAATTTTCTGATTATTTTAGGGTTTTCTCCCCATGTTGAGTTTGTTTGTGCTTCAATGCAGGATATGTCCAGAGAGGGAATAACTGACCCACTGCAGGCGAAAATTCTGAGTTTCATTACTTACATCGGCTGTGGAATTTCTTCTGTCTTTCTAGCCGTCACCCTGATAACACATTTGTTATTTGAGTAAGAATATCCACTATTTTACGTCACATAATCTATATTTTATAAATAATTTAGTTTTGCATATGGTACTTATGAATCTGTCTTTTTAGAAAACTGCTCCACGATATTCCTGCCAAGATCCTGGTCCAGCTCTGCTTTTCCCTCCTGCTCCTCAACCTGGTCTTCATGCTGGATGGATGGCTTGCTAACTACAAAATAGTCAATCTTTGTATCAGCACTGCCTTTTTCTTGCACTACTTCCTGCTGTCGTCTTTTACCTGGGCGGGGCTTGAGGCTCTGCACATGTACCTGAGCATCGTGCGAGTGTTCACACCCTATCTAAGTAGATATATGCTGAAGTTCTCCCTGATGGGCTGGGGTAAGACATGTCTGCAGTAGTTTCCTAAATGTAACCCTGTTTAATTAACCCTTTTACACACTGATGACAATCTGTATCTATTTACCGTGGTTCTCAGGTTTTCCTCTCATTGTGGTGGTTATTATCATAGCTGTGGACAAAAACAACTATGGTCTGGTGCCATATGGAAAATACGAAGATGGGACTACAGATGACTTGTAAGATAAATATTTTTCTGTAATTGCATCATCATTTGTTTTAACAATTTATGCCTTAAACCAGTTGTTTAACAAATATGATAAATCTTTTAGATTTTAGCTGCATTTTCACTTTGAAACATTGGTAATGTAAGCAAGCTAAGAGTAAACATACTAATGAAAATAGTCCTGCATAAAACAGAAACATTATTGTTTTCCAGGCTGAGGGCTGTTGCTTTATCAGCCTTATCATCTTTCAGTTGCTGTAGTTTGGGCTAAGATGTATTGTGGTGTATGATGAGGTGATGACTTCAAGCTTCTGATGTGAGGTTACTTCAGGCATACCTGCTGACAGACTTCAGTAAAACTTCAAACAAAGCTGGTGTGATGAAGTACAGATCTGTGTACAAAAACATGAAGAATCTTGACAGAATTATGAATGGATTACTAAAGAACTACAAACATCATCTCTTCAAATTATACACTAATACATCCTGCCTCTGGTTCTTCGTAGCAATCCAGGAGACAACTGACATATTAGTTTGAGACTATTGATATTAGTTTTTCTACAAAGCCATATCCTATAGAAGCAGTCATATTTTACTCCTTACTTTAGACATACATTATCTGGTAACTGGGACTTTAGCTGTCCTGTTATGGCAAAATACAGTTAATCTCTTCAGAACAGTCGACATCTGTTTTTCATTCATATCTATCATTTTAAGACCTGCGGACACTACTGTTCCAAAGTGAACTAAACAATTTAAAAATGATTACGAGAGTAGGCTAAATGCTTCCTGTAAGCAGTCCTACAATTTATGAGATAGCTACAACTCTAAAGTGATTCCAAAATATGCCCCCCAAAGGGGAGATCACTTATTTGCTCACCTGGTGCATTTTAATGTGGGTGATAAAGGGAGGGTATTTTTTGTTGACCACTTTACACTTCAGATGTTTTGCCTTTAGCAAAACAAAACATTGCTGTTTGGCTGTGAAAGGATCCTGGAGAGAAATATCAGCTGTGCTGCTGCCATCAACACCTTTGTTTATAGATGTTGGAGATCGGCCTGTTTTTTCAGTGTAGTCCTGTTTCTCTGACTTTGACTGGTTGAATGTGCTGTCTTCATCTTCTGACATGGGAGTTGGCTGGGAGCTCGTCTGTCTGGCTGTGTGTTTCCTGGACGGAGCCGCCTTTTACAGTTGCCTTTTGTATCTCTGCCTCTGTTTCCTTGAACCCCAGTCGGCCTCAGCAGATGGCCGCTCACACTGAGCCTGGTTCTGCTGCTAAAAGGGAGTTTTTCCTCTCCACTGTCGCTACAAGCATGCTTAGTGTGAGGTATTGCATTCGAGTCAATGAGTCAATGTAATCAACTGGTTTTCATTAGATAGAAAACTTTTAATTAATTTGACTGGATGATATGGTTGAACTGTAAAGTGCCTTGAGATTACATGTGTTGTGAATTGGCGCTATAGAAATAAACTGAATTGAATTGAATTAACCAGTGCTGGACCCTGTAGGTAATGTTTCTGCAGGACATGGAATCACTTGTGTTAAGCATTTGATTTTGAAAATGTTGATGTCAATAAAGGAATCATAGCTGGAGCTTGTACTAATGTGTTTAGCACTGATGTGGTGAACCATAATTCCTCTACTCAGCTGCTGCTTTTTTAATAGCTAATTACCCATTTTCAGAGATATCGTTAAAAAAGAAAAAATGTATTGCAAAGTTGATTTCTTTTGCACAGTGAACAGATTAAACCATTACATTTAAAAGGTGACAATGTTGTGATTTAACAAGGAAATTGTTGTTGTTTATTTACTGTTAACTACAGTTATTCACTGTATTTGACAGCAAAACAAACTTGGGATCCTCTGCTGTGGAAACTCTCTGCCAATGCATAGTACATAAGAACAAAAATAAGGGATTCTGTTTTTTTAGAAACATTGGCTTAGGGGCTTTTGCAGCTTGTTGTGGAAACATATTCTGGACATAGCTTGTAGTATTGAAAATATTGAGTAGTACGGTGAAAAATAAGAATAAAATGTCTTGTCCAGAGAGAATATTTTTACTTTAGCCCTCTGTCGATGGAGAGTCCAAACGTCCCAATTTTCCAAGGATAATCCCAGTCTGGGGCCACATGTCCTCAACAAACCTATCCTAGCATCTGATGAATAAAAACAAATGCTGCAAATACAGTCTTATTACAGTACTATTTCCAATGAATGTTTGTCTGGGTGAGTTAGTTTTAAAGAGATGCAGATATTGTTTACAGATTTAAGAGAAAAAAAAAGTTGTGTGTTATTAAATGGGGTGGTGTGGCCTGATCTAAGATGCCAGTGCAGAATTTCTGTCTCAGTCTGCCCCGGTTATGTGTGGATAAATAATTCTCTGGACTGGGCTGATTCTCGCAGGGATACAATTTTGCTTCTCAGAAAGAAATTAAATAATGTTTAGAAAACTTTTTGCTAAAGAAATAAAATAAGCTTTTATTAACATACAGAGCAACAAAAGGGCACATGGGAATGCAGCATTGGGGCGGGGATAACATATTGGCTCAAAAAAAAAAAAACGGCTTTTTAAATGCTGCTTTTTGTGTCAAAAGTCCATCCAAGTTAGATGTTTTAGGATTGACAGGAAGACTTCAGTTACTGTTTCTATTATTAGTTTGTATATAGTTACATACCATTTACCATATTATAGACTCTCATTTTTAGGTGTGCTTGTCCTCTTAGTTTTGACATATAAAAGTTGTTAATGAAGAAAACAAAGGAGTCAGTGACAGATAATCTATGAAGGAAGTAAGAAGCCATCAACTGAGAAATATGAGGAGGGAGAGATAATTACCTGGTTAAATGAACATTTCTTCTGTTCAGCTTTTAGACCCAAATAAAAACAGTTTTGGTGTTTTTGAAAGGCCCAAAAAAACAACAACTGTCAATAGCCTAGTAAATGGATGAAATAATTGGCAAACATGAATATTTATGTTAACATTATACTAGGATGAATCCAATATCTGATCTAAAAAAAAAGGAGCTGCTGAAGGCTGTTTATGATCATAAATAGATGGATCGTAATCAGTACCAAGGGTTTACTTTCTAAACAACCAGTTCACCTGCTGTAATGTTAACATTTAGAGGCAAGCTGCAGTTTACATGAAGATTTAATAATTTTCCCAAGCCACCATCATGCTTTAATTCTGAGCATGTACTAATAGCCATCATAGGTTGCTTTATTCCCGACATTTCTTATTGAATCTGCCTTTTTTTCTCTTTTCCCCTGCAGTTGCTGGCTGCGTAATGACATTGCCTTCTATGTGGGCGTGGTAGCCTACTTCCTCCTCATTTTTGTCTTGTGCCTGGTGGTCTTCATTGTGGTTATGGTCCAGCTCTACCGGATCAAGAAGCAGAACCCTCACAACCAGTCCCCCAACAGGAGTGCAATGACTGACATGAGAAGCATCATTGGCCTCGTTCTGCTGCTTGGTCTCACCTGGGGCTTTGCTCTGTTCGCCTGGGGGGACGCCAAACTCCCCTTTATCTACCTTTTCACCATATTCAACTCTCTTCTAGGTGACAGCTGGTTGCATGGGCTCGTATACATATACATATATATATATATATATATATATATATATATATATATATATATATATATATATTAGTGTTGCACCGATACCGATACCAGTATCGGACGGGGCCCTGATACTGCCCTAAAATGGTGGTATCGGTATCGGCGAGTACCAACAAATAGGGCACCGATACCATTTTGAGAGCCATAAGTTTATTCAACCATTGTCACCCACTCCTGGTAGGCAATAAAAAGTTCTACTGGATTCACTTTGTGATTTTTTCCTGCTTCACAAGGGTAGGCAGCAGCTTGACAAAGCCACGATGGCAATTATTTTACATTATTATGGTATCGGTATCGGCCGATACTGCACAGCCAGGTATCGGGGCCAAAAAATGGCATCGGCGCAACACTAATATATATATATATATATATATATATATATATATATATATATATATATATATATATATATATATACATATGTGTGTGTGTGTGTGTGTGTATGTGTGTTTTTATTACATAAAACATGCAAACACATTGAAATAACATCTTTATTAAACTAATAAGATTTTTAATTGAATAACATGTCTTGTATAGGATTGTTTGTCTTCATTTTCCACTGTGCCGTGAAGGAAAATGTCCGCAGGATGTGGAGAATGTATCTCTGTTGTGGAAACTTGCGGCTGGCTAATAACTTAGGTGAGTCATCTTAACTTTTCCTGAATTAAGTCAAGACTGAATTAGCATGAAACACCTGTGCTCTGCAAGGGTTTCATAGGACTTTGTCTGCAGATTTCATAAAGATAAAGATTCAAAAGCCTGCTAAAGAAATCACACATCTTACAACTTAGTTTACACATTAATTTGCTGTTTTTTTGTTATAATTTTACACAGCTTATCTGACCAACCTCCATAAGAAAGAACTCTTTACCCTTTGGAAAGTTTGGGCTAATAAAAAGGCATTTCTTATCAAAACAGAATTTATTAGTAAAATTAAAATTTTGTTCCTGAACTATTCGTACTTGTACTGTAAATCATATATGAATGTAAATCACAAGATGAAGATAAAGACACTTTCTAGCCTCAACAAAGTATTAACAAAAATAAATATTCAAAGTAACAACATGCTAAATTTGGTGGTAACTTTCAGGAGGGTGAGAATTTTTTATACCAATAAATATGTGGTATGTATGAAATGGGGCTTGTTTCAGTGATTTTAGGTTTGCAGCTTATTTAGAAACATTGTACAAGATGCTGAAATCTTGATTTCTATGCAATGGTTTATTTCCCCCCGCAGAATGGAGTCGGACTGCAACTCACAACAACAAACAATTGTCGGCTGCTACTGGCGCCACCTCTGCTCAACAGCTCAGCAACCGTAGCTCCTCGTTTGCCAGCAATCTCACCAACAGCAGCGGTACGTGTTGCAGTATTTTCCTTATTTCTGTCATTGCAGTAATCCAGTGCTTAATATTGGTCCCTGTTTGTTTCCACTTAGGCTCAGTGTTTGTGGACAGTGGTATATCGGACCACTCTAACAGCGACGTCGTCCTCAATGAGATTCAGAGACGGAACATTTCTCCAATAGATGAACCCTAATGACATGGCTTGAGGAACCGTTAAAGATTAGGGGTCCTTTTCGGATGGAAAAATAGTTGTAGCAGAGTGGCTCAAATTGAAGTCCTTAAAGGTAGAAAAAGGTGGTAAATATTTCAAAGCAGAGTGAGACTGAAAATAAAAACACTTCAGGAAGTCACACAACAGGAGCAAGACTTTTATGCCTATGTACCAATAGCAAAGGAGGTATATCAGCAGAGATATGGCTTGATTATGACTGAAAAATAGAAGATTCACTGTTAGAGCTGTGACCCTGTTTGACCCAGTCCTTTACTAAAGCTTACGATCTTGAAATCATTTTAACTGTGCATATATGGTGAAGTTAGGCACAGTAATTGTATCACTTTGTAGTGAGAAGTAGAACATTGTATTTTATTTACCATCATGGGGCTGATTTGCTGTCCTTTCACCTTGTAAAACCTACAGAAACTGTGCCAACGACTTTTACTGAAAAACAGTACTGCAAGGTCCAATCTGAGAGGGACATGTCATTCTTTGAAATTAATTTAGAATTAAAAGCAGACAGGAGACCCATCTCTTTGATTTACAAATGCCAAATTCAACTACTAGCCTTCCTAATCAGTTGTTGAGCAGAGGGGTTTTTCTTTTTTTTTTTTGTACTGTAAGAACAGTGGCAGAGCCAGAAAATGTTCATAGGACTAGATGAGAACCAGTTTAGGATCAGTCTAAACTAAACACACTGTACCAATATAAGCGCATTTTCCAAAATAATTCACTGAAGATGCCTAGGGTTTAATAAAGGCCTTGCAGATAAATGCTGATGCTGTTTAAATAATTTCTATTACTACATAATATACGCATGAAATGGCTTGAGCAGTTGTTCTTTATTTCTGTTTACATATAAGACTCCTAGATTACTTTCAGAGACATTGCTTTCCCTTTTCTGCCATGATACACACAAATTAGTTCTAAGAGATAAAATTTGTGTGATATTTAATGTTAGCATGTTGACGCAAATAAATGACTGTACTGTTGTTGTCAATTCATTGCTAATATACTGACAATTAAAATGTTAATTTACTTAAAATATTTGACTTAGAAGGATTATTGATGCAGTCCTGTGTTTGAGAGAGGAACTGTTTGTTCTAGAGATGGGCAATTAGTTCACATGGGAACAAGTACCTGGTGGGGGTGGCCAATGATTGGCTAAAGGCCACCCTCTAGTTCATCCCCTGTATAGGAACAATTTATTCTTTAATATGCTATAGCAGACGGTTTGGGCTATGTTAGAGTTTTAATATCTGTAAAGAATGAATATGAATCATTTCAAAGTGTTTTTTTTCCCCCTTTGCATAAGGAAAATCCTTCACAGGAGTATGCAGTATAATAAAATTTAAATTCACCAACTGTTTTGATCTTTTTTTTTTTTTTTTTACATCAGAGTAACTGGGTGGTGTTTTAGCTTTTCAAATCAAACACGTTTTAATGGGCAGGTCAGATCCTACCGGCTTGTTTTTGAACCCCCAGCAGAGCCCCCTCATACCAGCCAGCATATTGTAGGTTGATTCGCAGCCCATCAGGCTTGGCAGCTGCTGCCGATTAAAAGTTTTACAGGAGCTGTGTGACCTCCGAGGTACACCGCAGGAAGGAGAAACGCTTCATGAATATTAGAAAAATACATGCCCATACTTCACTGTGAAGGGAAAAAAAATGCATATTATTTTAACTTATATTCTGTCAGCTCATGCTTGATTCGTCATAAAATAAGAGCTAAGTTTCATTTTTGTCTTTTTAGTTTGTAAGTAAATCAAACAAGTTATTCAGAATCAGCATATTTTTTTCACTTAAAGAAGGGAACACTACTGGATTTTTAAAGTGCTCCCCCCCAGCAGGAGATAAATGTACCTTTTTAATAAGAAGCACCTGCAGTTCTTCTTGTTTGTTTAAAATTGGTCATCACCCTTACCTGTGTACATAAATACCACCCATTTTGTGTGTGTGTGTGTCACAGCCTATAAACCTTAAATATCCATTCTACCTATATATGTGTATTTTTTTTCTTTATATATGTATATATATATATATATATATATATATATATATATATATATATATATATATATATATATATATATATATATATATATATATATACTGTATATATGTATATATATATTTTTTTTTTTTTCTGTGTCTCTGGTTTTATTTAACTATACAAACATTTGTCATTTTATTTTCCCCTTTGAACCTTCTTTCCACCAGATGTCAGTATAGTTCCACCCTATGTTTCTTCTCTTGCAGCTGTCTGACGTGCTGCTCAAAAGAAAATATTTGAAAAACTTTGGAATATGAAAAAAATCTGTCTATCTAGTAAGCACAGTTAAAAAAAAAATTTCTTTAATAAATAAATAAATTTCCATTATCTCTGAATATACTACAGCAGCCTAATTCCTTATATGTTGCAGACGTTTTTTTACACATACTAATTTCTGACCAGCTGTTTGCAGAATCATGTTGCTTACTTATCTAATTAACCAGCAGATTTCTCTAACTAATCACAAGGGAAAATATTTTTTTTCCCTGTCAGGAGATATAATTTCATTTAAAGGTTAGCTTTTATTGCAGCCGTGCAACCTGGCTAATGAAGGCCATGCTGGGAGGAAGGAAAGAAGTCAAACACAGATGGTTGCATGAAATCAAACCTTATATAGATGTGTCTCAGCTTTCATGAGTCATCTCTGCTTATGTGTGCAAAAATAAACGTACAAAGATCCCCATTGACTAATTAGGGTGCGCTGTGGCACGTAAATCCTCACTCTGATCTCTATTATTGCAGAGGATCAATAATTAATGAGGGTCATATGAAAAGTCCATCACTCCCTGGGGGCTGCTCTCAGCATCAGAGGGGTTTCTATGACATATGAAGGTTTAAATTCAGCTTATGATTGTGGGATGCAGAGAGTTCTTACCAAAATGTTTTAGATCTCTGAGAAACAGAAGCTGTTTATTGTTGAACTGTTAATTGTTTGCAGCTGAGCAGTTGTTGCTCCTGATTTCCCAGCTGGTCCTAAAACTCACTAAACTTCACAGTTGGTTTATAACTTAATGATCAATTGGCAGAGTAGCAATGCGGATGGATTATGGCTTCAGAGGAGGAAAGGAGTTAGCTGTACTTTTCAAGCCTTTAATGTTTCAGCTCAACTTCTTGTACTTATTCTGGTATCTATTGCAGCCTGGAGGCTGCGTGTTGCAATATCTCAACTGAGATTATCAGCTGCTTTTACACAGTGAGGTTCAACGGCTGTTAGACCCAATTGTTTTGAAATGTAACATAAAGGGGATTTCATATATCGTTAAGTAAAGATTTAAGACACAATAGCTTTGTAAACGCCTCCCTGCCTTTGTTACAATTCCATGTTCAAAACATAAGTGGGTGGTCCTAATGTGTCTCAGAATAATCAATAAGCAAAAAGATTGTTTCCTAACTTTGTTCTTATTTTTTTGTTAAGTAAAGCAAAATAAACGCCACAACATTAGTGTGCTTAAATCATTCATAAATCCAGTAACACCTGCTGAGAGAAATTGTCAGGAAGATGGATTTGATGCTAATTTATCAAACCTTCATGTCACAGATAAATAAACTGCTTCAAATAAAGCACATGTACCAGCTATACCATAGATAGATAGACAGATATGATAAAATGATTCATATTAACTCCCTTTGAGTCATTTTGCATTAGTATCTAATTAAACCCTCAAAGCACAGACAAATATAATGAATGAGCTATGTCTAGTGCATCTTATCACAAAGCAACTTTGCTGTTCTGTCATGATCATGGTGCTGATGGCCTGCTTAATTGCTCATTTCATTCACCTGATCTGATCCTCCTGCTTCTATGTAAACTCCTTGTTCCAAGCCATCAGTGCCAGATTATTCTCCAGCCTTGTGTGAGAGTTCTCTAGCGTACCCAGTTGTGTTTCTGATTACCTGATCCTGATTAGTTTCTGCCTCTGGACTCCAGAGTTTTGCCTGCCCCTGGCTGATCTGTTTCCCTGACCTGTCTTCTGACACCTGTTGGATTCTTCTGTGGACTGAACCTGGATCTGCCTCTTGACTTAGCCCTTTGGATTACCCTGCATTCCTTCATGTGGTTGGATCTATCCTCCTGCCAGTTCTGCAGCCTTCCTGTCTTCAGCGTCTGGAACTCTCTTACAGCGTCTGTTGCGTCTTGTCTGCCAACCAGCTGGAATCATCCTTGTTCTCTGGGCACTGACTGAACTGTCAAACCAGGTTAGTGACTCACGCCTTCATAATCATCCTATGTCAGGTTATCTTGCTCAACAACTTGTGTTTTCTCTCCTATACACAATCCTGCTTTAAACGCTCAAACCGCTGATACCCCAGATCCACAGCCCGTCATTTAAATAAACACTTTTTAAGTTATTCCATTGTCTCTCTTGCCTGAATTCTTGGTCCCTCTGATCTGAGACTTTACAGTATGTCAGAAAAGTGGGTCTGATTCATGTTGGGAGGAGCTACCCTCTCCTTTCTTTGCCTGTATCAAATTCAATGGCGGTTGAAATCGAAAAAGTGTTAGTGATCATAGCCAGTGTTGTGCCTGAACGCGTTCGTTGAACGAAAGTTCATGAACTCGTTCATATTTTGGGCGAACGTGAACTGAACGTACTGTATTACTGCCTGGTGAACGTTATTGTGAACTCGTTCATTCTGGTGTCTGTGAACGGCACGCTCTCTCAGTTCAGCTCCGTTCAATAGGTTGCCAGATTTCTATAGAGCCCTCCAGGCGAAACCCCGGCTAAATCACACCATAAACAGGCCTTAATATGTAGCGGGAAAAACACCCAATCTGGCAACACCAGCTACCAGCGTCGTAGCCTACAGCCGCGTGCTTCATCAAAACAAAATGCAGCGTGGAAGCCATAGCAGCATGGAGGCTACCGTGGAGGCGACAAAGCAGCAGTATGATCACTTAAAACAGGTTTATGACCAGGTGGTCGGTGAGGATGATGGCAACAAGTTTGCCCGCCGGCTTTCAGTAAAAAAATCCGCACTTCAGTAACCTTAAATTCCTACCTCAGCCTGGTCCCTCAGTTTGTGTTAGTAAAATCTTCTTGAGCGGAGGTCTTCAACAGGGGATCCGCGACCCCTAGGGGGTCTACGGAGGTACTGCATGAGGGTCTGCATGGTTAGTTGATATTTTTATATTCCCCCCCTGCAATTTTTTCCCCCACTAATTGAAATGTCTTTAAATCCACATTAACATGAAATCAACACACTGTAGTAAACAGATAAATGGAGACAAAAGATGTCTTTCAGTCATCAATGCACACATTCAGCGACACACAGGAGCTCTTTCAAGCTGGGCACCGTTTCCTTCACAACAACCAGGAATCAGAATCAGAAAAACTTTAATAATCCCAGGGAGAAATTAATTTCTTTACATTACTCCATCTGTAATAGAGTGACTATAGGACACGATTTCATACAATATATATAGTTAGGGGGTCCCCGCTCCATCTCGCCATCAGTTTGGGGGTCCTTGGTCTGGAAAACATAGAAGACCCCTGTTCTTGAGGGTTTTACTATCCATGTAACTTGTTTGTTAAACCTGCCTGGTATAATATTCCAGGATTCCAGTATTCCTTTTTAGTATGTATTGAAATGGAATTTCAAATGGAAAAAATTATTAAAATAAAAAAAAAAAACATTTGCACCTTAAAGACTACTTTCCTATTTTTCTTTTAATAATTACTCATAAAAAAGACCATTCAAGCAGCACATTTTTCCTGATGTTTTTAAGAATATACTGTAGGGGTGAAAGCTGCAGCTGCTACTAGTGTGAAGTGAATGGACAGCAACAAAGCGTTAAAGCAACAATGGGGAAATGCTGTCCCCTCAATGCTAATGTAAACCCTGGTTGGATAAGGATTCAAAACTGGATATGAAGATGAAATCTGACGCACAGTTTCAGAGTTATAACTGATAAAATAATTGCTGTCTGTGGTTCTACAGTAGGCTATGGTGTAATTGAGCAATATATGAAAAAAAAAAAAGAACTATGAACTAGTTCATTTTTTGGTTTTGAATTATGAACTATGAACTGAACTAGTTCATTTTAAAATGTGTGAACTGAACTTTGAACTAGTTCACGTAGAAAGAGAACTTTCCCAACACTGATCATAGCACTCTGCATCAACAGTGCTGTGTCTGTCTCCCTGCCAGCTCCCAGATCAGCTTCTCTGATTGGTTGTTGTGGCGTGTTGAGCAGAATAAATACATTTTTTCCAACTTCAGCATCTGCTGCTTGTGAAGCGGGTCACATGCCTCAGATGCTCAGAAGCTCATGAGGCGCTACTTCGGCTGCTCAGATGTATCAAGATG